ATTCGAGGAAGAATGTGCTCATGCACATCGGACATATTAATAATAATTGATGTTACATCTCTTCAATGCATTTAAGCGCATAAGGACTTAAGAGTATTAACAAGTCATGACTTGGAAACAATTACGCATTGCAACTCAGGTGCTGCCAAACGTTATCGTGCGTTATGTTCACTTCGCAAAGCACTCAAATGCTTTGACGAGCTGTTTAGAATTTTATATCTCACTTATTTAAGACCACACTTAGAGTACTATATCCAAGCAGCTAACCGATGTCTGATGAAGGATACTAATTCACTTGAGCGTGTTCAGCATGTGGGAACAAATTAAGTAAAGAGCTTTTCTAAAATTCTTTACGATGAGTGCTTAATACACCTAAACCTTTCCCCCTTATCGTATCGTAGAACGCGAGATGACCTTATTTTGGTGTTCTTAATCTTTAATTACGTTTCGAGTATTAATATTTTTCATCAGCCAACAAAAGCACCATTTCTGATATGAAGAATCTGTCCTGAGCTTTACGTTTAGTAGATTACTTTTTGAGTTTTACCTAAATTAATAGTTTACTGTGGTTTTACCTCAGCTTACTAATCGGTTTTTCAGTTTTCCACGTCAAGCCCAGTTTATCCTAATCTTTCGTGCCACCCGTTTTCATTCATTTTTATTCGTTTTCAGCGTACTGTTTTTTTGTTTTACGGTGGTAGAATTTCGCTAAGAACTATGTAAAAATTTACGTCATTATATCCGTAAAGAATTCATGCAAGCAACCCAGTCGCCGTTTCACTGTTATATCTGGCACGCAGTGTGACAAATGCAAAGGTTTGTTACACGAAGCGTGCACAAACTTTACAGTAGCTGCATACAACAGACCCAGTAACGCGGTTCGTATGTGAGTATGTGTCACGCGCAACACGAATGCTGATGTTTTACTGAGTAACATCATCATTCTCTTGACAGGTCTGTGGAATAAGTTATTAGTAAACCTGAAAATAGGAAGTTCAAAATAAGGTTAACAAACAAAGACGCCCAGTAAAAGCAAGAAGAGGAACATCGACAACCCTGCTATCAATGGAGCATGTAAAGACACTAGTGAGGACAAGCTGAAGATCAGCACCATCATAACATCGACGGTACTAGATTCCATCAACAAGCTTAGGTCCCGAAGCACAGGATTTTTGAATATAACGGTGTTTCCTAAAAACTCTGTAGGCTTTTGTACCCTGTTAACGAAATCAAAAAAGACCGGATGTCACTGTCTAAGAAGCTGAATATCTCAGGTATTGTAGTGAGATCAACTGGTTATTTAGCCGTACAATTTAACCGCAAGAGTGTCCAACCGGTCAGCAAAGAGTATAGAGATCTAAAACGCGCTTCGATCTTCAAACAACAAATTCCTCAATCTGAGCGTATCCGAAAACCTGGGAAAATAATCCCGGCTCGCGAGGATTCACTAATAATCATGAAACTGAAAGACAGTCCTGACCTTCCCCCCAGCCTGTAGGACAAAAATGACAGGATGCTCTGGGAAGAATTGAACAAGTAGCTTGAACTTCCTAAGATAAAGCCTTTGACGGTCGCACGGATCAATAGGGAAAAGAACTGCAGGCATCAAATCATCAAAGACTACTACGTATAGCGCTCACCAACGCTAACGATGTAGAGGGTGTCTTACTGTCCAGCCATTTACTAAAATCAGATGGGAATGTAAGAATACTGCCCGATATACCGTACCGTGAGCGCAATCTCGTCCGGAACACCCCTAAGGAAATTCGCTAGGATTTCTTCCGTGGAAGAAATATGATTGTGCAAGATGTGCCGGAGAACACGGACCCTGATCACACAAACTCCGATATTCGGAAATGAAAACTCATCAAGCAGTTTTTGAATCTCAAAAACAAACAAATTCAACAAGTGGTGAAACTAGACAAGAAAGACGAGAATTCTAGACCCCGGCTGATGAGGATAACCTTCCCGTCCTCCCATATGGCGGCTGCAAATCTGGAAGCATTTCGTGTACATAGACGCCATTCGCCAACTGGAATCCATATGCATCCGGGTAGACCCTATGATAACGGGATCAAGCAGAAAGGCAAGTTGGAGCTAACCATTCCACTTGTGTTGTGTCTAGACCATAAGAAACATGAAAAGGACAGGAGCAAACAATTCAGAAAACCCTGTGTAGGTAAGCTCCCTGTCCATCGACATAAGGCTCATGCAGACAAACTGGACAGGAGAGTTCAAACGTTTCTAATTCAAAGCATAAACAGCTTATACATGAACGTTGATAGCCTACTAAATAAAATGGATGAGCTACGTGAACTTGGCAATGTTAATAAGGCTCATCTGATAGGAATATCTGAGACTTGGATATCTTCTTAGTTTACTGACCACGAGGTATTAATACCTGGGATGTCTTTGCTTCGCAACGACAGAAAAACAGGAATTGGGGGTAGAGTAGCCGTATACATACTATCCTGCCTGAAGGTACATCAAGATCACAACCATGAGCTTGACAATCTTGATGAATCTGTATGGTGCTCAGTAAGATTGTCTACCACCTCGAGGTGCCTAGTCGGGGTCATCTATAGGAAGCCCACTGCTGACATGGAGTATGACAGTCGTATTTTAGAAGGACTATCCCGCTCTACGCGTCTCGGATTCACTCATATCCTGATTCCAGGAGACTTTAATCTTCCTAAAGTCAATTTTGCGGAACATACGTATATTGGAGGTGAAAACGCTAATAAAGTTCAGTTCTTCAACCTCATTGAGGATCTCGGACTATTCGAAAATGTGGAGTCGGCAACTCGTTGGTGAAACAGTCAGACACCGTAGCGCTTAGACTGGGTATTTACAAATGAAGAATTCCTTATTGACAAGTTTTGAATTCTGGCTTCTTGAGGAAGAGCGATTACGCCGTCATAGCCTTTAGTTTTATCAGCAAAACTGAGCTAAGATATTCCACCAACAACGGAGGCAGGAATTTCAAACGGTTGAATGTGTCTGCTCTACAGGATAATCTACAGCAGGTGTACTGGGAAGTTCACCCTCAACTTTATGTGGATGCCTATTGTGATTTCTTACTGCACACGATCTTATATGCTATAAAGCAATCTGTTCCTCAAGTGGTCCTCAAAATCTACAAGCAACCTACAGTCATCAGGAACCTCACTCTTCATTCGCAAAAACACTGTTGGGCAGAATACAAACGAAGTGGTAACAACGGTACGTACAGGCTATACAAACATATAAGGAACATATGCACAAAGACAATAAGAAAGGACAGGCTTCAGAGCCAGATAAAGCTTATGGATAAATTTGTCTCCAATTCGGAAAGCTTATTCTGTTATGCAGCCTCTCTTCGTCAAGCCAAAACTGGAGTTTCCCAACTGCTAGGTCCTAATGACCGACCAACAACAATGGTGACGTCACTAATCTTATGGCTGAACAGTACTCTCAGATACTTCAACCAACCCACATCAACTATACTGATGACAGCTTCATCTGCAGCTGCACATGACTTTCCGAAGTGAACCTGAGCGCTAACTTCGTATTCCGGAAACCGTAGCACTCAAGAAAAGACACTTCCCGGTCCATATATGGTTCATTCTGCTATACTGAAGAAAGCAGCTTCAATCCTGACAACACCGCTTAGCGTGATGTTCTCACACTCGCTAAGCCGAGAAAAACTACCAGACAATTGGAATCTGACTCACATCACACCAATTTTCAAAGGAATTCGACGCAGCGAACCTTAAAGTTACCGACCCGTGGCTCTTTTATCTATACCTACAAAAATTATAGAGTCCCTGATATGTGATAGTATACATGACTATTTACTGTCCTTAAATTTCTTCTCGCCTCAACAGCATGGTTTCAGGAAGGGTTACTCCTGTATAACCAACCTGCTGACTGTAGTGGGCAGATGGACGACAATCCTTAACCGCAAGGGGAAGACTGATGTCATTTACCTTGACTTCTCAAAAGTTTTTCATAGGATCAACCATATTTGTCTTATCAATAAGCTCAAACGATTAGGCACCAAATAACCTCTAATTGATTGGCTCATTTCATATCTAGAAAATCGATATTTTAAGATCAGGGTTAACTTCACTTTATCTCAGGCTATGGAATGTCCTAGTAGGGTCCCCCAGGGCTCAGTACAGAGACCTCTTCTCTTCTTGATTTATATAAATGATCTTACACAACAGGTGTCGTCAAACTTATTACTTTTTGCTGGTGACGCGAAAAAGATTTAAGAGTCCTGGTGCCTTATTATTTAAAGTCCTACGCTAATTGTGACAGAAATGCCTTTCGAGCAAACCTTGCACTGGCATCGCTGAAGCGCATTTTTGGCCAGTTTGACGGAAGAACTTTCCACATAATCTTCAACAGTTTTGTTCTTCCCCATTTACAGTACGGAAACATTGTATTTCCTCCTTTACTTCGAAAGGATAAGGATACTCCAGAGCGTATCTAACAGCAAGCCACGAAATCAGTCCGACGACTCAAATTTAAACCTTATGAAGAGCGCCTCCAATCACTTAACCTTTACCCTTTAGAGTATAGGCGTCTTAGAGGTGAACCTCTGATGACTTACAGTATCCTTAAAACTTCTGAACATCCCCTTAAACACATACTTAAGCTTAGTCCCAATACAAACCTAAGGGGTAACACCCAGAAACTGGAAATGCAACATAACAGAATGGACTGTAGACACAGCTTCTAATCTCTAAGAATAGTCAAATGCTGAAATTCGCTGCTGAATGAGTTAGTTCAAGCGACTTTCCACGAGTGCTTTAGAAGAAAACTTGACATATTCTTAAGAACTAAAAATAACATCTTATTATGATTTACCAATTTTTTCCCTCTCTTATCGTTATTATACCTAGGCTTCTGCCTGAAGATATTGGTGATCCACTGCTACTGGACACAAAAGCCCATTGGGCGAAAGCTTCTTCTATTCCTTCCACAAACATTTGAACTATTTGAATGTGAGTGCGGCACATTTGCCATTAACGCTACTGTTTCCTCAAGTCATTGCTCGATATTTAGTGTAAGCCTTCATGTAGAAAGCATTAAGTTCTCTTTCTTTCCCTCGCTTCTCAGTTTAAGTGAAATCCCCTTAAACTTTTAGATACCAATCAAAACATATTCCTCTAGAGCTTTTAGTAATCTAAATACTTTAAAAGTCACGAGTAAAGTAAGCGAACATTAAACTCAGGTATACTTCAGTCGATAACTCGCTTAAAATAGTTGTGTGGAATAATTCTCATATTTTCCACTTATTTTTCCTAAAAGCATTGTCTACCAATCACATTCCTTATAGACCGATCTGACACAACTAGATTTATTGTTACCACCTAGTTTTGATGAATGTCCCATTTCTTCACGTCACTGAAATAGGAGCTATGAATTAAGAAGAGGATATTTTGCAATTGTATATTCTTTAAAACTATACATCCACTTAATAAAGTGACGTGACTTAGCCTGATGCTTTTGTCTTTCATGATTGTAAATAACTTTAACTGTTCTGACCTTCATTTGCATAACTTTATTTTACTGACATTTTGTCAGTCTGTTTTGTAGTAAATGGAAAGTTCAGCAAATATTGAAATATTAACTTGCTGAATTACTTAAGATGATCTGTCAGTTTCCTTTCCAATTTAAAACCGGTTGTAGTTTACTAGTTTAAGTTAAATTTATAAAACGCAATCCAACAAAGCGTTCGTATTAATGCTCAATACTCCAAGTGTTTTTATTCCCTTAATCACAAGAAAAAATTGGTTTTTCCGCTTATCTTTCATAACTATATACTTAACGTCTCTTAGTATTGTATTTACTGTCCCTTTAATCCAAAACGTTATTTTCCGCTGCAATTTGTCTCCTTATTGGTATTTCTGTCACTAGATCCTTAATTGTTCAACGTTTTCTTAGAACTTAACAATTTGTGATCCCAACAGCTTATTCACAAATATCAATAACTGTCTAAGAGCATTTTTAACTAAATGTTTTATTTCCAGGTTTTCCATCGACTAAAAAAATGACCACAGCCGGGAGACCAACATGGGATACTGCTAAAGGTAGTAGGGGAAAGTGGGAAGGTGATTTAAGTGCTTTGTCTAAGCAGTACTCTGTTCGTGACTTACCGGCACATACGAAATTGAAAGTGCGTCAAGAAGGACAAGGAAGACCTGAAGATATTCAAGGAAAAGATTTCAAACGTGCTTTGGAAGAAAAAGAGAAACGATTAGCTCAAGAGAAATCGGGGAGGCGTAAGTATAGTTAATTATTAATACAATACATGAACACCTTTAGAAACTCAACCTGTAAAGAGGTACAAATGCATAGGCCCTAAAAATTTCGTCACTCTTTCATCTTTAAATGACAGTTAATTTATAGCATAGATACAATTAGTTTGATTAACATAGTCTCAAATACTTCCTCATATTCTGTAGACCCTATTGTTTGGTAAAAACTGTCTCCTAGAATAAATCCCCAGCTTAAATTCTCGACTCAACAAATTTTTTAGGGGACTCATACAGCATATACAGACCTTACACCTGTGATTTAAAGGTATATTTCAAGATATCCTACATTTTCATGTTTTGGGTTTTTGTGACAAAAAATATCTATTGTGATCGATTCTAAGCCATGTCACCCAGAGTCTCCAACGATTGGCCACGATAGTCGCCCAGACCCCAACCAAGTAGTTTGGATCTACCGACATAGTTCAGACCAGAATTTAGTGACTTCAAGGACTGATGCCACGTCTTGCTTCGGCCGCTCCTAACTTTCTTCCAACCATCTCCAACACTAGTCAACATTGTGCATCGTCGTAATCAGTCGATGAAGCTTCACAACTGATTTACCACCACTCTCTAACACCCTGTATCTAACCTCTTTATTACCTACCCGATGATCCCAGTAGATGCGAGCAATATTTCTAGGACATATGTGATCAAATACTAGTAATGGCCACGTCTAACAGCAGTAAAAACAATGAACTGGTGCACAGTATACTCGTCCTTTAATTGATAGATGTATATCTCGCCTTCGTCATACGTGACGCGATTCAACAAAATCTAGGCCTCATGGTAGCCGATAATCAACAATAGGTTCATACACGATTCGTTCCCTCAGGATCTTGGAGCCCATGTGTACCACTGGTTTAGAATCAGGTTTTCTAATCCCCCTAAGTGGATCCTCCGTACCCACCAATCCTGTCAAAAAGCCGGAATTCGCTTTTCGTCCTTTCAATTTCGCAACCAACGCGCCTGCCGCTAGAAGTCAATGAGTAAAACTTCCTTGGTTGTTGTTGTATACGCGTGGCCATATGAGAGCATTTCAAGAGAGAGCAGACTCTTAACCCTCCCCCGTACCAGTGCATTTGAGGGTGACTATATTTGAGATCAAGTATATTGTCTGATCATTGTCGTCTTGTTTATTATCTGTGGGGTTAGCGAAATACTTTATTCAAATGTTGTCCTCACATTATCCTCCAGTTTTCTCATATCAACTCGTCCTTGTCATATTTATTGCGATGCTGATGAAAGAAGAATAGGGTTGAAAAAAACTAAAGGAGATAGATCACTCATTGTTTGAGGGTATTATAAATGAGTCCACGAACGATAAACCAGTAACCAGATTACTAGCCAGATGGTAAGGTCTTTTATATAATAAAATAACGTGTTTTTGTACAAAATAAACATTATAAAACGTATTAGGCATTTACAAGAAATTAGATCGCATTTCACTTATTCTCCAATAAACTAAAACCTGACTGTTGTGCTTTATTTTTTTTAATGATTGTTTCAGAAGGGTCCACTTAATGTTAGTCAGAATCATATACACTTTACTCAGTGAGTTAGCAAAATCACATAGATCAGAAGTTGAAAACCATAAGTAACAGCTCAAAGTTAATCGCAATATCTCGGATCTATCCACTTTTCCTTGATTGTTAACGTACTACCTTTTGTTTCCGTTTAACTCATCTTTGCTGTCTACTGGGAAAACTTTCAATGTTCCTTGATTTTATTCCTCTGTGGTATTGTGAAAACGGCACGTTGTTCTGATTCATTTTTTTGTGATGTATTGAGTAATTTTGTGATTATAACATTGGTTCTTAACTCTGATTCAATTTTCCACAGTACCAGTTCCATCCTAAATACCTTTAAGTAACACTAAACAATGCTGTTTCTTAACTTGTAAACATGAATTTTGTGGGTGTTGTAGATATACTTTACTATTGTGTTAGAATGCTTAAGATGAAGGTTCTCAGCAGACACCAAATGCCTCTAAACTACTTTGTTTTTTAATGCATTTCATTGATAAATTCACTGAACGAAATCATTTTCAAGTCAGAATTACTCCTTCGTGAAGACGACGATTTTGAGGAACTTCGTGAAATTCATATTATATTTTAGATCAGAATTTTGTATCTTTTACCTTTTGATATTCTTCCTCTTTCAAAAGTTAAGACATTACGAGTGTGGTTTTACATTTTTATTACTTTTTCCCACCGCCCTCATTCAGCCTCAATAAATTCCACTAGTCAACAACCAGCAATTACCAGTGCCAAACGACCAAGTTCTGCTGCTGTCGCGCCAACTATTGATAGTAGTACTATAGGTAGTATAAAACGTACACGACCTGAAACAACCGCTGCTGTATCAACAACTAATTTAGATGCTGATGATCCTTGGGATGAGGACTATGATGAAGATCAAGAAGATGTAATTATCACTAAGAAATCGAATCATAATAAAAGTAAGAATTCGACTGGAGATAAATTTGACGATGATAATCAAAACGAGGATGATGACGATGAAGATGCTGACAATGATGACGTCGACGACGATGATGAAGAAGATGAGGAAATGCTCTTAGCTGAGTTGGCTAAAATTAAACGTGAACGAGCTGAAGAAGCAGCCCGTTTGGCTGCTGAAAGGAAAGCAGCTGAAGAAACTATTCGTATGGAAAATATCTTGAAAGGAAATCCGCTTTTAAATTCATCTAATTCTTCAGGTTTGTTTTACAGTGTGTTTACAGTGAATCTATACTTATGGAATTATATATATATATATGATATCCCAGTGAGTAGAGAATTTTTGGCATATCGCGACTTAATGATTTTTACATATAGTAAATTATTTAACTTTTATACAACCGTCCATGCAAATTGTATGAAATGATTTATTAATTTAATTCAATACTGCTGTGTTGATCACCTATCTTCAAACCAATTCACATTCATCGTTCTAGTAAGTTATAAATTCCAGGATTAAAATGTTCACACAAAGATTCATTCACCATTGGTTGGATTTAAATCATCGTACTTACCGGGAAAATTGATGTGGTTTATACCAGGTGCGGATAATGAAGTAATACTACTGGGATATATCTAGTGCCTTTATAAAGGAAATTTCCTGCTTCTCAAGTTCCATTAACTATTCAAATAGTTTATTAAATAACCAGCTCTTCGGAAAGTTTAAAATCCATAGATTTGTTCCGAAAAGGGTGATCATACATATGTATACAGATCATACGTCTTTAAGTAGGTCAGATATCTAGTACTGTCATATTCTTACTAGTTGTTGATGGCGTCTGTTGGGATCATCGGGTAAGTAATAGTGAGGTTAGACTCAGGGTATTAGGTAATGATGGTAAACCAGTTGATGAGGTTGTTAATCTTCATCGACTGTGATGGTTGGGCCACGTGTTATGTATGCCTGAACACCGATTACCACGTCGTGCAATGCTAACGGGTGTTAGAGATGGTTGGAAGAGAATTAGGGGCGGCCAAACCAAAACGTGGCATCAGTGCTTAAATACACTAACCTCTAGTCTGAGCCATGTTGGTAGATGCAGACTACTTGGTTGGGGTCCGCGTGACTATTGTAACCAATGGTTGGAGACTCTTGGTGACGTGGCTCAGAATCGGTCACAATGGCGTCGGTGTATACACTCCCTGTCTTCCCTTAAACTATGAGATTAAAATCGCTTCAAATCTTTCTTTCTACTAACTAATTCTATATTTCGGTACTATATTCTTATTGCAATCTTTCTCCTATATATTACCACCTTTAACCTAACCACTCCTATGAATCCGGTGTTCATCTTGCTGTGCTAATGAGGTATGGCAACCTGGACCGATGCATATATGTGCCTGATCCTACGTTGTAGCTGACTGACTGAGTTGTTGAAACAAATCCTGATTGTAGTCTGAAGAAGGCTTTCGATATTTTATTAAATAAAATTAGTCTTATTAATCGATGAATGTTATTATTTACTATGTTCATAAACGGTATAGTGCATGAAATACTAGTTTATACAAACTAACAGAAAAATTTAAAAGATTGGTATGCAATAATAAAAATCAATGGCATTAGAGTACACTAACTTTTGGAATGATTTGTAACTCAATCGGATGATTTCAATGGTGTTGTATTCTGTAATCTAGATGTTTCTACTTGTAGTAGACGCTGGTGATTCTATTAAGAACAATTAGAGCTTCACAATTAAATCATCCAGCTCGGAAGACTCAATGTCACCCAAAATAGTACTTTTTTGTTGGTTTATATTATATGTTGAAGTTACTTACGCCTCTTACCCCTTCTGGAGGAGCATAGGTCGCCCAACAACATTCTCCATCCAACTTTGTCCTGGGAAATCGTTTCTAGTGTCCATTCATTATTTTGATATCTGCTTCCGACGCAATGTGGTTCTCGGTTTTCCGCTTCCCTTCAGGATTCCAAGTCAGCACTTGCATTGTGATGCAGTTTGATAGTTTATGCAACGTATGTCCTATCCACCTCCATCATCCCCTCCTAATTTCCTCTTCAAATGGAAGCTGGTTTGTTCTCTTCCACAGTAGGCTGTTGCTGATGGTATCCGGTCTACGGACATTGAGTATCTTGTGTAGACAACTGTTTATAAATACTTGTACTGAGATTTAGATGGTGGTTGGAAGTAGTCAACAGGGTTTCCTGTTGACTACCTCCAACCACCATCTAAATCTCAATACATAGTGCCCGCAGTGTCGAGTCACCTAGACTGGTGGCCACATTGCAACATGATCGATAGCATTCGATCTGCACTAATAAGGACTAGACAAGCAAGACATTGATCACCACCCAGTGATCAATCAATTGTAAATACTTGTACTATTTTGATGATGGTTGTAGTAGTTCTCCGAGTTTCACCTTTGTACACTAGAACGGTCTTGACGTTTGTATTGAAGATTTTCACTTTGATATTGGTTGATAGTTGTTTTGAGTTCTATATGTTCTTTAACTGTAGGGATGTGGCCCTTACATTGCCAACCCTCATCTTTACGTCTGTATCGGATCCTCCTTGTTCATCGGTGATGCTCCCTTATTGAAGTTAGATATACCACTATTACTTGAGTTGCTTAAATAATTCCAAATCTATGGAAGATAAATTGTCACTGTTTGGGTATCCATTATTCTTAATATCACTTGAAAATAATTATTGCCGTAAACTTAGCAGCTCATTAACTCAGCAATAGTTATGCGTAAATAAATTTTTAAACTTGATTTATCTTAGTTATTCGTGTCAAGAGTAGTTTTTACCATTCATAGAGAACGTTGTTTGTGACCTAATAACAGACAGATATATATGACGTTAAAAATCTACATTTTTGTAAATACTCAAAAATCCTACGTATAGTCATTTCTGACACGAAATTTATTGCTACGCACACGATATAGGATACAGTAACTAAATAACTGGTTCATACATCCATATTCCATACCTTACATTTTCATATTGGTTATTACGATGAAATCGTTTGTAATGATCATTATAAAGAAATCAAGGTTTCCTTTAAGACTAGTCACCCAAAACTCTAAGTTCGACTTATGTTGTTTTTAATGTCAGTTGGTAAAAAATCAAAATTTCTTTAAAAATTGTCATTTATATTTTACCGTTTAGTTTTATACTCATCATACTTCTATTATTGCATTGTTTCATTGTGTGTAAAATATGTTCCTTTTTTGTACTGAAGAATTTAAAGTCAAACGAAGATGGGATGATGATGTTGTATTTAAAAATTGTGCTCGAGGTGAGGTCGATCATGTAAAACGTGGATTCGTAAATGATACACTACGATCTGAATTTCATAAAAAATTTATGAAAAAATATATCCAATAATGCACATGTACATTGTCTTTCCTCAATAATACTTTATTTCCTGTAAATAAATAATTGTTTTAAACAATCTTATGTTAACTTATTTCTATCCAAAAGTGTCTCCATATGTAGTGTGTTAAAACTTTATCATAAAAATTGCTTCTAAAAACATAAATAAGTTTCAATCTAGAAACATCACATTAATATACTTTATACTTACTAATCGTAAATAGTTCGATTTATTAGATTTTTTGGATCGGAATTTATCACGAAGCAAACAAAATCAAACAGTAGAACAGCGTCATCTGCTGTAATTTATGAATTTAAAACATCAAACTTAACGAATTTTATGCTTGAATCTCCAGGTCTCATAATAAATAAAAGCTCCGTTTATATGCTATGATTAAATGTTGATTCCTGTGGTAACTTTAAGAACAGCTCGTGCTAGGTTAACAAAAGCTCAATGTATATATTACAGTATATTCTTTCTTTGAAAGCAGTTAGGTCCACAAACGCATTGTAGTATTCCTCACGCTACCGTTAGCCAGTTGATAAAAGAAGAAAATGGGAGGAGTTTTATTCAATGGAAAAACCAAGTGATGCTATGTTTCTAACCAAAGTGTTAAAAATAAAGACAATTCATTTCCAGGATTCAAGTATCTATTCACTGCGCTATCGATGTAACATGTTATACATTCCTAACCATCAGGATAAACGCTATTTCTAATATCAGTATGAGGTTGTAGAGATTGTTAAGTTTTTGACTGAGATCATGAATTGATTGATGTTAGGTCATCACTGAAAACCTGGGAGCACCGGATGGCCGTTTCGTCTAATTGTGGCACTCCTCAGCAGTGCACACCTACCTTATTCGAACTTAGGATCTTCGGTTTCACGCGCGAACGCTTAACCTCCAAACATTAACTTCACCGGACGCCGGCTCAGTGATCCAGATGTTGGGCGTTCACGTGTGAGACCGAAAATCTTGGGTTCGAACACCGTTGGTGTGCACTGCTGAGGAGTGCCACAATGAAACGAAACGGCCGTCTGGTGCTTCCAGGTTTCAATGATGGCCTAACATTAATTGATTCATTACCTCAATCAAAAGCTGTTTAATAGTCGGTATAAGAAGTAGTCCCGTTTTCTGAAGTTTGGGTATTTTGATGACTAATGGTTACGAACCGCAAGTAACTTAATTCAGTACCAATTATAGTGGATCCAAGTTAATCACTGCTAAAGCGAATAAGTCGAAAATTTTAAGGATTTGTAATCTTACCATCGATATAAATAATTAGTTGTTTCCAATGTTTTGTCACTTCATGAGGTGAATATTAGTGTCTTGAGGAAGTTTTCTAAAAAAATTTGAACGGGATCACAGTAGCATTCAGTCATTTGCAAAAATAAGATACGATTTGGTACTTTTTCGCTGAGCATGCTAAAGATAATTAGTTGTATAGCCTATGCAATTTAAAGTCACTCAAACCTTATCATTGATAGCTTTATTTTTCTCATAATGAACGCTATCTTTTGGTCAGTGTAACCTGCACGTTTATTGTTTGGATGTCAGTTAACACTTCCTTGATTAAATTAAGTATGCTAACGACTTAGTAGGATACATTAATTATATTCTTCATTGAACAACAGGTACATTAAATGACTTGTCAGGTTATCCACACATCAACTACTTACATCAGTGAGTGTAGTTAGTTAACAAATTGAGGCTAAGAATTTGAACAATAATGAGAAATCCAACAGGCACTACTGTACTAAACAACGAGTTTCACCGTAGACAAACGTGCTACTACGAACCTTTAGTTACTTGGACTTAATGATTTATAACTATAACAGAATGCGACTTCATACAGCCTAAACCGCTATTTCTAATCTACCATGAGTCAACAGAAGAATTTACGTTTTTCGAGTGTAGTCCGTAACGTTTTTTGTCTCGGTATACTAATTTGTGTTCAGTAATCTAAATTATATTTTATTGCTTTCACGCCTGTACAACAACAAAACAAATATCCTATCCATTTGTATTTTTCTTCTTTCGTTCTACTAGTAGTATAAGTGTTTATTCCTCGTTTTCTCCTGTTCTTGTTTATTACCCTTTGGGACTTCTTCATTTTGAGTGATTTATTTTTGAAATCTAGTAGCTTGTTTCGTCTCGTCATTTTTTGCTATTCTTAATTGACTCATCCATGTCATATTTTCTAATTTGTGGCAGCACGTCCTTTAACTGTGCTTTCAATCATCCAAATGAGTCCTCAGAAGTGTCACATTCAAAGGTTTATGCATAATTAGAGTCTATTATGTTTTTCATGACATTTTGTCCTACTAAATAAATTTAGTTATCGGGTTGTGGGGTTTTTAGGCGTAACAACGCCGTTAGGTTAGAATTCCCAGAAACATTATTTTCAAATACCGACGATGTTTATATTCAACATCCTAATGAATACTTGCTAGAGTCGAACACCTTTATCTACATCATTCTGTTATAAAATGATTGGTTTCAAAATTACAATGTATAACTTTAAGTGTAGACAAAAGTTTATCGTTCGACTTTTCAGCAGAAACACTAAATTAAATGAATCCATGGTTAAATAGTATTCCATTTATAATAATGGAAGATAATCATTGTAACTATCTTGCTTATTATTGTTCGCGAATTAAATGTATTTATTTCATGATAAAATGTGTACTTTAATTAGAGACATTAACACTGCTCAAATATCTATTATATTTCAAGGTTTCATGAAACATATATCCAATGGAATACTAAATAGATTTATTTGTTCTATGATTCACTCAGTAAAATGTAATATAACTCATCGTTCTGTAAAATGAACGCTAATTGATCTCGGCGAGACTATAATTTATGGACTAACCAATCAGATATAAGGTAACAGATCTTGGATTTTGGCGCGAACTTCATTTATCCATCTGGCTAGATAGCGTTTTGGCATTTTAGCTGATGTCAGCTCGTGACGAAAACCTTAGATTTAATTCCTAACTGTTATATCCTAGTGAAGATTAAAATACGAGTAACGTCTAAGACCTATTAATAGATTAATTTTATCTATATATTCTTATTGTATAACAATTCAGTAACTAGATTATGTATATTATTATTCCTCTTATTATAAGCTTCAATTTGACCTATAATTTATTATTATTATATGTAATGTCTTTAAATTATGCTCAATTTATTAACTACTGTCTCCCACGTTCACAGCCACTTTTTTGGCTTCATTGTGTACAGATGTTATTTCATAATTTATGGTGCGTTGCGGTCTGCTTTACAACCATTATTTAGAACAACATATATAAGCGAACAATATTGTTTTCGATTAGATCATCATCAGGCTTTACTCTAATATACAGTAATATTTATATGCATCTACGAAATTTGTACTTTTCACATTTTACTTATTATGTAATCGTTTTCATAGTTATCATTGACTTGATTGATTCAATAATTTCGTATATGCATATAAATAATACTGTATATTAGAGTAAAGTCTGATGAGGATCTAATCGAAAACAATATTGTTCGCTTATATATGTTGTTCTAAATTTACAATATGGGAATATTTCAAACCATCATTTAGTCCTAGTTATTAGGTGGACATTCTCAGGGTCATTTTAGCGTCGTTTAAAGGTCGTCCATAAATTATAGTCTCACCATTAATCTCTTATCATTAAGAGTGAAACATTCATAAACTAATATTAACATTTGAAAATGACATTTAGTTTAAGTAACAGATATTATTTTTTATAATAATAATAATTTAAAACAAATTAATATTATTTCAATGTACAATGTTTATTTATATTTCAGTATATTTAATATTTACACAAATATGTAACTATTTTCATTGATACAACGCATCAATTTTAAACTGAAATTAATGAATAAAAGAGTTGAAGAAATATTAACCATTTCAATTGACTACTTACATTATATGGATCATTAAAGATTATTGTTAATTCGACACATTCAATTTAATCATCATGTTTGTCTTTTTAGAAAAAAAAAGTTTTTATTGAATGTAAATTAATGAAAATTTATTCACAATGGCGCAATTTTTAAATTAATAACAAGATATCAAAGTAACATTTTTATATTAAAATTAAGATCATTTAAAATTAGACTATTTCATTTGAAATGGTATTTGATTTCCATTGAATCCAATTAGAATTGTAGCTAAGTCTTTAGAACTTAATAATGTAGAATAATCATTTCTAGAATTTAATTTAATAGTTGTATCTGTAGTGGACAATGTATTTGTGAATGTTTCCTTTGTATCTATTCCAGTGGTCAAATTTAACAATGATTTGTTTTTCAGATGAATTTCTTCTTGAGAAACATTTGAAGTTGTATCTGTTGTCAATGCAACAGGAGATAAGTTGTTAGCTGAAAATAATACAGTCGAATTGTTATCTGCATTGTTGTTAGGGATTAAATGTTGCAAAGCTGATGTATAAGCGTTGAATGTGTTCAATATTGTTTGAGTATCAGGAAATAGGTTAAGCTGCTGTTGATTTATTTCCATACTACTATGACTGTTATTATCATTATTATTGTCGATATTCATATTATTACGGCTGTGTGATCGTTCGTATTTACGATATTTAGCTCGACGATTTTGAAACCAAACCTAAGAGAATAAGCAAAAAGAAATCACTGAATTATGCTCACTGGAAATTGTATAGAGCATTTTACAATATTGTTCATCTCTTTTTACAGAGATTATTAATGAAACAACCATTTAAAAAGCCGTTAAAACATGACATCATTCCACCATAATACTAATCATTAGTCATGAACGGTGTAATAGTCCCATAGAAATCCTTTACGTATTACATCACTGTTGATTTTATAAAATTCCCTTGAACTTTTGAATGCATTCGATTAGAGGGTCACTAGAAAGCACAATGAACTATTTTTATAGGTAATTACAGAACCATATCGTTAATTTATTGATATTGGAATAAATCATTCATTAAATGTTGATCTAATAATTCAAGTGTAACTATAATGGGCACCTAAATGTGACAATCTAATATTTTCAAATAAATGTCTTTACAATAAAATACGTTATGGCAATTCTTTTATATTCCTACATTTTGTTCAGAATGAAGTAAATAAAAAGGATTTACATGTACATGCTATTAAATGATTGTTTTGTGAAGAAAAAAATAATTAAAATGTAACTCGCAAATTAGTCTATAGTGGATACAAATGATGATTTGTTTATCTCATTCCAGACAGCTAACTGGTGTATCACTACCTCCTCACATGGTTAAAATCAAGTGCACAAACCCTTTGTTTAATCAAACATTGAGTTCTACTAGATTTCATTTAGATTTAATAGCAAGACTATTAGAATAATCTGAAAACTCTAGTTTCCACAGATAACTTATACACATATATATTTACTATAAAACTTTGTCCACTTCAATATATAAAATTCGTCTTAAATAACTTCAGATATAGTTTAATACAGTTTATCGGTCAGTACTTTCATAATAATTAATTGATTTAAGTGGTATCAGGAACGACTGCATTACAGTTTGTAGTTTTTCAGTGATGAGTAATTAAGCTTGTTTAAATATAGAAATACAAAATATTCCTGTAATTTACATATTTTTCTCGTAAAAGTATGGGTACTTAATGAAATTTTCAATGAGTTTCCGATGTTAATGAAGTGTTAGAAACGAAGGATATCTGGCTTGAGTCCCTGTATGAACATTAACACTGGATGCAGGAATATGTAGTTATTGAGTCTCTAACAAGAAATAACCCATATATTGTATTCCACTCCTAACTACTATTCTGTTTTACTTAAATACGGTCTGATGTTCGTTCTAACTTAAACGATTATTTCAGTAGTATGATAGTCATCATAAAATAATTTGAAAATAAACCTCATGTGTTAAATCCTAAATTAAACTAAACTCAACTATTTTAACACTTTAATGTTAATCCATACTTTTTTTATAGTGACTTCATGTTACTATGATAATCATCTTTAATTATGTTAATCATATTATTTTTATGTGCTATAAAGCAAATCAAAGCAGCTATTAAATACACATATGTATTGAATCAGTGAACATAGATACAGTGAATGATTTAATCACTTAAGTGTCATATGTGACTCTGTATTTCGTATTATCACTAGTCGAGTTAAGATTTATTGTCAAATTAAATTAACCACTTGAAAATAACAACTTAAATGATACTTAAGCACGATGTATCTATGTATGTGTGTGTATGTATACATCTAAACCAAGTAGTGAAACTGTATGAATGTAAACACTCAAACACATTGTTATTAGTGTACAACCCTATCTCTAACCCCCTTTTCCTATTTCTTATGATACTTATGTCTCCTATTACTGAAGTGTAATTACACACTCATTGAAAGGTGACAAGAATAATTCATTCTTTTCAAAATGAAATGAAATTAATTAAAAGGGGATTAATGTATAACACACATACATTCACACAAACATACAAACAATGTAATGTGTTTAAAATATAAAAAATGTTCTTGCTAATTATTAATCCCAACCACATCCATACACACAAAAATATGAATATTATACATAAAATGTTAATCATAAAATTCAACCAAGTAACTGTGATTTCATTTTAGAGAAAACTTTTGTGTTTTTAGTAGTCAAAGTATTCAAATAGATTTTAATCATTATCATCATCTACCTAACACAAAAGACAAAATAGAAAAAAGAAATTTAGTGATAAATTAACTAGTTTCCAAATTAATGTATCAAATATTTAAATATATAAGGTATATACTGCATGGTAAGCAAAACATATGACTAAAGTTGAAGTGGATAAACTAGGGAGGGGGTGGGGTGGTTTATTTAAATGAATAGAATAGTAATCATTGATCAATGAATGGACGGTTTTTCTCAGAAATATGTGATGAGAGATTAAATTTTATTGTTGTTTGGAAAGAATTTAATATTTTTTAATTAATTTAGAAACACGATCATCATGTACACTTACAAGTTGACATATCTATACAATTTGAACTCTGAATAATGAATTGAAGTGGATGGGATTATTTATGTTTTGTAGTTGATTATTATCATAATTAGATGTTGTAACTGGGTTATGTAATAAACTTTTTGATGAAAAGAAAATCAACGATAAGATGATGTTTCTTTCCAAAAAAAATGGACAACCTCTTATCTATCTATACACTTGAAAAAACAATCCTTATAACATTTAATTGAACACCTTTAAAAATAAAGTTATAATTGGATGTGTTGGTTGAACAATTGCTTATCACATTGCTAGAATGATAAGCAATGTATGTGATGTAGCCTAGTATTCTTTAAAACAATTAATTGACCGATGAGAATAATTTGAAGACTAAATGTTAATAATGTCATCATTTATTTAACACATTTAAATTGTTATCAGAATGGGGGTTTGTGAAAATTGTAGTAAATTAGGACTTACATTCATGAGTCGATCTAAGCTAGACCCCATTCATATGCTCACAAGTGACTATCTTCAAAATGGATTTCCTGGAGTTCTACTAAGAAGCCGTGACCAGTGCAGCCCGATCTGTATCAGGCAGCTATCCACCTCAGACAATGGATAAAGGGTTGTGCAAGATCAAGGATCGACTGAGGCCAGACATTAACGCTATCAGATGCCGGCTAAGTGGTTTAGATCTTAAGCGCTCGCGTGCGAGACCGAGGGCTTTGGGTTCGAGTCCCTCATGAGGGGTCGTGGATACTCACTAGGACGAAACGGTCGTTAAATTCTTCCAGGTTTTCACTGGCGGTCTAGATTAAATCGACACGTGAATTCAACTGTTATGAATATCGGTTAAATCAATTATCAACCAATCATTCAGTAGTCAACTACTCAATAAGCACTTTACTTTAGTGTAATAATAGCTAAGTTTTCGAAATGTTCAGTAAGGTTCAGCACTGAATAAGTTAATTTAATCATTTTTCGCTTAGTTTTTTTATGAACCAGCTTACTTGTATTTGAATGTAATCAAAATAAAATAATGAGTGCACGGAAATTTTTTATTCTAAACTATGTTTAATTGTGTTTAGCAATACTTATTCTATTATTATTCTCACAATTACTAGTAATAATAATAGTGAAAATATACATTGTTTATATACCATGAGGGAACAATCGTTGGGTAAATCGATGTAATACATAATGTCATATGATATTATCATCGTTTGATACAGTATTATTTCTAATGTATATCTGAATAATAACTGGCACAACATCAAATGTACTATTGATGACAAACATCCGTCAACGAATTTTGACCGATGAAGTAATATATGAATACATGTACCCTGTATATTTCTTTATATGAACTACACTGTCATTTGTTCAACGCAAACGGTCTTGTATTTTCTACATTTTAGTATGAATGCTGAGACTAATTAAAGACTGAACAACAGTAAATATATTTTTAGTTGTTAATTGAAATTTTTGTGAAATATATTATGAGGGTTTTATACTTAAAGACCTGATATATATATATATATTATATATATATATATATAATAATATAATATATATATATATATATATATATATATATATATATATATATATATATATATATATATATCTTACGATTATAGACAAATTATTATAGATTATCATTGAATCCTGAATATTCTGTTGAAATGGCTTAGATGAATCATTGTTCAATCAGCAAAATGAAATTTTATGCCAAGCCACTAGTTTGACTGCAAGCCAAGAGAGAACTTTTAATACTTTTCTTTTTTTGAATTTATAATTTCTAACCACATTTGGGTGTGTAAATCATTGAATACAAGATTAAATTTCAACATTTATCAGTTAATGTTTGATCACAAACATAGGTAAGACAGTTAGAGTGCTCTAACCATACTTAAAAATATAATCGTTTAATTACAAGAAAAATCAACTAGAAATAATATGATATTCGTCAAGGCTAATGATAAGCTTACCCAAAACTAGTCAAAAATATACACATAAAGTTCAATACTTATTTTACCAATGTTATTTATACACTTACCTGTACGCGACCGTCTGACAAATTCAGTTGACTTGCCAATTGATCACGTGCTGCAACATCTGGATATTGGTTAAGCATAAATGAAGTTTCTAATGTATGCAATTGATATGTAGTAAATGTTGTTCTTAAACGTCTTGGTCTCATTGTATATTTTGAACTTGTATGATGATGATGATGGTGATGGTGGTAGTGATCAGAACGATTGTTTAAATTAAATGAAAACTTATTGTTAGATTTTGAATGAAAATGATTTGTTGATTTTTCACTTAAATTCTTACTACTACAACTACTACTAGTAGTAGTTATGGTGGTGGTACTAGGTGCAGTTGCTTTTGTCGAATTTCTATCATTTTGAATTGTGCAAGGATTTAAATATTCAATCTTAGAATTTCTTTGTTGATGATGATCATGATGATGATGTTTAATATTTACATTTGACTTAGAATCATATTCAGTGATTATATTCAATTTCTCATTGGTAATTGGTGATATATTACTGTTGTGAGTTGTAATTGAATGAGATGGACTTGAGAAAGTACTTAGTAATGAAGACGATGAAGAAGAAGTAGAGGAAGAGGATGGCGATAATATTGGTTGTTGTGAAGAGAACTGATTAAATGGGCTAGAAGATAAATGTATGTTTTGATGATTGTCCAAATGAGTTGGTTCTGATGAAAGAAGACTAGCTGGAGATGAATTAGCTGTAGAAGTCATTTCATTCGAGTTATCCAGTGATGATAGTGACAAATCGGTTTGTTTTTGGAACATTGACTCTAAAATTAATAATTTTTAAACGAATAATTAACGTACCTCAGAATGATTATAGAGTCATAACTTAATGAATATAACACTCAAATATGTTATAAAATAATAAGATATTATGTGTTCCCTTTCGTTCTGTTACTTTACAATACGTCATATGTCAAAGTAAGTCATCATTTTCCACGTGGAAAAAAGACAATTAATATGTTTATTGGATAATTTTCAACTCTTTAATTACTTATATGATAAGAGTTAGTAACTAAAGCGTTTATTGATTTTCATTCATTATCCTATTCGGAATGAATGATCATGATATTTGCATTTTAAACAAATAAGAAAATATTTACTGTTCATTAACATTTTTTTCAGAACTTACCTGAATTTCGTTTTCTATGATGAGAGCTATGATGTGATCGGTATTTTCGTGCGTCATTGTATTCTTGATGATTGTCAGAATTAACGGATTCTTGATCGAGGTTATTTAAATCATCAAATGGTAAATTATCTGTTTTCAGTAGTGTTTCAATTGTGAAACTCATTGATTTCGTGGTTGCTCTTTTTTTACTGAAGAACAGAACGGAAATATAAGTGACTATTTTTATAGATTAAAAGGTTGTTGTACTCCGAGAGATTAATAAATTGATTTACGTAATAGTGTATAGCATTAAACCTACTAAGATTCAACTATCCTAACAACCTAAATAATATTTGCTGAATAATACTGAAATTTCTCTAGTACATATTTTCCGTGAGTAGTATAATTGTTAAGATTTCAAAGACATTTATCGAGTATTGAACAATGGGAATTAAATAGGTCTTAAACGTTTATCAGTCGTTAACATGTGCCGCGAAAATGATGACATTTACAGTTGATTGATCACTGGGTAGTTGTCAATGTCTAGTTTGTTTATTTCCTAAAGCTGATCGGATTCTGTCGATCAAGTTACACTGAAGCCACCAGTCTGACTGACTTGATATCACGTACAATACGTTATCATGTCAGATGGTTAGTGGACAGGAGACAATGAATCTACGTTTTATCCTAGTTAGCACTCGTTATCAAAGTGTACCTTAACTCCTGAGGGATGTGATGTCCTCAGGTGAATCCAGTTTTGTAGTTTTGGACGTTATCAACTAGCTGACCGTCAGACATAGCATACGATATTATATATATATATATATATAGTGTATTCAACGAGTTCATTTTAGAGCACAAAATAGACAAATTGTGAATTACCTTCTGAAATCTACATACATAACAACTGTAGTCACTACTGAATATGAAGTCTGGACACTTTTAATTATTACAACGCCTGAGTACTATCAATTATAAGAATAATATTTTTCAAGATCCATCACTATATTGTCTTCTTCCTTTATGAAAATTTTCATAACGATATTAATGAATAATAAGCTGATCATAGCTCACTAAAAATTTACGTCAAGATAGATGGCAATTAATCTAAAACGGGAAGCTGATAGTTTTAAAATCAATTAAATGTTGACATAGATAGCAATTTATCATTAACATCTAATTAAAGTTAAACTTTATGAAAAATGGACCTCAATGAAGAATGTAAATTTCTAAAAACTTTAACATCTTATATTTCATCTTAAGTAAAGTAGTGCTTTGAATATTTATCAAACTGATATGATAAAACACAATTTCCCTTATATCTTTTTAACAATTTGTAATAAAAAAATGATTCAAAGTTTAATTTAAAAAATTGTTTAAAATAAATTATTATTCATCAAAGTACTTACTGAATAGAAATTGTTTCTAACCGAGTACAAAAAGTTTCCACCAATTTAACGAAAAAATGAATTATTTTTAAAATTATTAAGTTTTATTAAAATGATAACAATGACATTATATTTTGATTGGTCACAATTTACGCAAATTTCGAGAGTGTTTTACTCCCCTCTTTATATAACTACATTTAATTTAACCAATTAAATTTTAGGAGAGTTGAATTGGGACGAAAATGTTAGCATGTAATAGTCACCCCTATTGATTAATAATTTTTAAAGTGACCTAATTCAAAAGGGTGGACGAGGATATAGACTATGTTACGTACCCTAATTTGCATGATTTCATAACGGCGAGGTTGTTATTGTCATTTGCAAATAAATACTAATAACTAATTACTTAAGCCAACCAACTAACTGAATGTATAACACTACGGGAACATAAAGATAAATGTGATCAGATCTAAGCTTATCCTGTATTTCGATATCAAAATATTGTTCATATCTAATCAGTCAATAAAGACAAAATTGTATTGTCGATTTAGAAGACATTTTTTTAACAGCTTTTGTTAAGCAACTACTTAATATCCTAAAATTGTCTTGTCCCATACTTAGGGTCGATTAATGAAGCCAGCAATAAACACAAACGAAAACAATATGTGTACAACTATTAATGGAAAAAAAGATGTTAAACTAAATTGGTATTAACTATGATATAGTCTAAACTTTTATCAATAAAGCGAATTAGGTTCAAGGAAGGAAGAGAGGTTGGACGAATCGTTTCTGCACGCAAAGTTCGGACTTGTGTTCGTGGATTGCCGATGCCCAGCAGTGCATAAAATGTTGACTTGACATTCCTTCTATCCAATTCCTTTGGCTTTGTAGATTACTTTAAAAGAAGAATCCTTTAGATTTATGTTAAATTTATACACAACACATTTCGCGTTGTAAAGTTTCATTACAAATGATTAAATTTCAAAGTTTGTGCAAAGTGAACAGAGTATTTAAAAGAAATTTCTAATTTCAGGTTTCTATCTAATTAAGTTAGGTACAATTTTTTTATTTGTTCTCAGAAAATATGTTTAACAGTTCTGTAATTTTACTTTTTTTTTGTAAGGACTGAATCAGATAAAGTTATCAAAAAAATCCACTTACAAGTTATAGTTTATTATGCTATTAATAATAAAGAAATTACATTTATATCTAAATTTTTGTCCCATTATTATGTACCAAGTACTAATTACGTAATAACTAATAACAATGTAAAACATGATCAATGCATAATAACTCTAGATATTAAAACAAATATTTTTATTCATCGTTTAGTAGTTTAATGTTTAAAATATGATTAACAATTTATGAAACCGAATGGTATATTTCATTGTAATTTTTATTGTTTAGATGTAGTCGTATTAAAAGCTAACCTAAAATAATCAGTTTAAAACATGTAATTTGATTGTTAACCTTTCTAGAATAATTTAATCAGTAATTTTTTTCATTTTACAATACTGATTTGTACAGACATGAATCACTAGGGAAATATCAGTTGATTTTCCTTTTTCTGTATGTCTGCAGTTAGTAAGCATGAATGCATGATGGTTAACAGTGGAATCCAGGACGTACGTTTCGTCAGCTGCATATATCTGCATCTCAGAGTTGAAGTTCACTCCGGGACTCGGACCATGTACCATTTGCTTCAAATGTCACCACGTTATCCATTCAGCTACCGAGTCCTGATAGTCACTAGCTTGTGCAATTCGGTGAAGTTTAAATTCATTTTGTATTGTTTGAATCTTCCAATTGATGTTTAGGACTGCAATTGACTAGTTTCTTATTTCCCAATAAGATTAAAACAAACGATACACAATGAATTTCACAGTGAGTTGTTAATAACAATCATGAAATTTGAGTTAATCTAAAACTTCTAGTTGATTATTTAACAGGTTTTCAATATTTTCATTTTCACTTTAGACCTTATAAAAAATCCAGACAACAGTTTGAATTACTAAATTGTACTCCTTGACTAAACGGAATTAAATTCCAGATTTATCATAATGTATTTAAAAAAAGCCGAAAATGGATTGATTTGTAATTATTATGGGGTAGTTTTAAAAAAAATCATTTCCAAATTAAGGAAACAGTGTTGATTTCATGCAAATGAGAATGATAGGCTTGTGATTAAATTATTTCATTCGGACATTGGGATATCATTGTAAACAATCTACTGGAACTCTATATTTTCGCTGTAATTGAACATTAACTAAATCATCAATATGTAAAATAACCTCTGTTCAACTGTTTATATTTAACTTATTAGGTATATTTATCTGAACACTTATTCTAATGATATGTAAACTGTAATTAAGTAGTGCAAACATAACGATGATAACATCTAATCAATTTCACGCATTTCATCAATTAATTCTTTATACTGATTGCACTATTCATGTAATCTAATAATAAACACATTGATCTTCGGTACACCGTGAATAAGTGAGTGAATTTATTATGTTTTATTTAATGCTCAAGATTATTCAGCATCTTGTAATTATTTTCATGATATGAATCACTAATTGATTCAAATTACTAGTTCTAATTATTTACTGTATTCAACATAAACATACTGATTTGAGAAAAATTGTGGAGTTATTTTAAGGTAATTTTCTTCATAATATGATGACAACTGAGAAATAATTAAAAATCTATATGTATTTGGTCAAATATCATGTGTAAAATAATAACGAACCTATAATATTGAATGAATCGAGGGTTATAAAATTGACTATTTCAAAAGTATAAACAAGTGAAGGTCGACCGAGTGATTTGAACTTATCGTGCCTACTACACGAACTAAAAATAATATTACGTTCAATCTTTTATGCGTTGGTGAATGTGTATTTTTGTTAAGTATTAAACTGGGATGAAGTATTTGTTCAATGACTACCATCTCAATCCCCTTTCCATTTTAATGATAATCCTGGTGATACAATTTGTTACTTCAAGTAATGCTTTGCAAAATTGAATTAAATTTTAACTAATTAGAGGCCAACTCCACCTGTAGCTCTTTTAGATTTACTGCCGGTCCCAAGCTCAGGAAAAAGAGGCGGGTTCGGCATGGGATCAGTAGAACCATCCCGTAGAAAACAGCCTTGCTAGAAGGAAACGCTAATCAGGATAGACAAGTCAAAACATCAAAACCCTGCCCTCTGAATTGAAGGGAGAATTATGACGTTTCATGATGAAAGTCGAGGCCGATGCCCCTTCTAACAACCACAGCAAAAATTAATATAGGTAGATGTAATATCTGGTCAATGAAAGACTGGGAGGACTGATCAAATAGCCACAAAATGAGAAAATACAACTTGATGGTTCTTGGAATCAGCGAAACCCATTTCACCCAAGCTGGAGAGATGCTGCTGCACTTCGGTCACGAAGAGGAACATGCTTCACACACCCAGGGAGTTGCTCTGATGCCCTCCAAAGAAGCACACAAAGCACTTATAGAATAGGAATCTCATGGACTCATGATCATCAAAACATCTTAAAAACAAAGAATGAAGGAATCACAATGAATATTATCCAATGTTATGCACCCATCAATCAATGCAATGGCAACGATAAAGATCAGTTTTATGAGAGGCTGTCATCGATCACAGTGAAGTTCTCAGGAAAGGACCTGACCATCCTGATAGTAGGCGTAAACGTCAAAGTGGAAATGGATAACAACAGATATCAAGCTATCATGAGACGACATAGACTAGAAGAAATGAACGTGCATGGTGGCAGATTT